CGCTTATTGATAAAGGCAACGCACTCCTTATCACAACTTGCTCTCTTTAATGTAAGTATGTCTGTTAGTTCTTCATCTTATGCCTTCATCTTTCTTTCTCTTATTTGCCTTGAGTAGAAGAGTATTAATGCCTTTTATTCCTCTCACAATATCTTTTCCCTCCAAAATTGTCCATTTACCTAATTTAAGTTTACCCTCATTTATATTGGCTCATGGATTTTCTTTTATATAAAAACTTAGTTGGAATAGTTTTTGGTTTAACTTTTCTTTATTAATATTGATTCATTTCGAAACGTCTTCCTGTCCTCATTTTTTCTCTGTCAATATAACTAAAAAATAATAATCTCGTTTTTATCATCGGACTCATTGTGAAACTACCTAGGTTTAAAACAGTGTAATTTTTTTTGTATTTTATTAATAATTTGTTGTCACATTTATTTATTAGGACATCAATTACTCAATTACTAATAAAATAATCATGAATGACACTCATACATTATCTATAGTGATCAAAATAAAATTTGACATGTTTTTTTTCCTCATAGGCATTGTGAAATAATATTTTTTTATAATTCCTCTTCAATGATATAAGTTGCGTGAAAAATTACTTTAAAAATGGGTCATTATTGAAAATTATATAATTATATGACCGCTCATTAATTATAAATTATACCAGGAACTAAACAATAGCTGATTAAGATTATTTCCAAACCAATAATTTACTCCTCTAAACAATACTGAGAAAATAATGTGAATTTAATTATTTATAATTGCATATATTTACATAATTTATTGAGTTTTATCGTATTTTCTTATGTCATAAGTAATTTCATTTATTGAATATTTTTTCTTATCAAACCGTCGTAGTTTTCTGGGTTTATTTTATTTTTTTTTTTTTTTTAGTCCATCTGTTAATCTGGATATTTAATTGCTTTCTTCAGGAATATTTAGCATACAACTTCAGTAATTTTCCATTAATTTATTAGTAAATTTATATGAATGCATTAGTGTTTACGTTCGCGGGTTTGTTTAGTAAATAAACTGTCAGAAAAAGAAACTTCTTTAAAGGTGGAGATAAGCAAATGTGAAAATTTAAATTTTTAATTCCTTTAAATTATACAGTAATAAAAACTTGGTACAGCTGTTGAATATTTGCAATGCTAAAAGGAGATTGTTTGCTCAAATGGCTATAATGAATTTTTTTTTTTACGCACTAAGAGACATATTTTTTTTTCTGTATTTTCGAAGAATTTTTTAGCTCGTTTAGTCAAAAAAAGCTTATTCTAAGACTTCACTTCCTAGATGAAGTGAAATAATATTTCCAGATATCTTACTTTGTTTTGTTTTGGGATCCGCATAATCCACAAAAGTTTTAAACAAAAGTTCGTCTTCATCATACTCTTTAAATTTAATCAAAGTCAATGAATGAAAGTTATTCACTTTAAAAATTTAATTTAATTCATAGAATATATTCACTTAAACTATTTAAGCGTTTGAGCTGAATTTAAATATGGAAAAAATGAAATATATGGTTATATTATTATTATATAATTTATACAAAAATATATTTATATAACTGTGCCGGCGATACATATTCAAAAGAGAATATGTTTTAACTCTTAGAAAAATATAGGTATTTGAGATGTTTAGGTATCTTAAATAAAATATAGAAAAACAAAATTGAAAAGGAAATCAAGATCAGACTAAACAAGAAAAAATCGTGTTATTTCTAATTTACAAAATGACTTCTTGCCCTCACGAAACTTGAAAATTAGAATTTATGTAAATATTATCTTCCTTACTTTTCTTTACGGATGTAAAAAGAGGCTGCTTATATTAAGTGAAGAATGACACCTTCAAAACGTTTTGAAAACAAACTAAGAACTGCGCAAAATATTTGGACCAAAGTAAGACTTTTCAATAGAAGAGAATTTAGACTACGGAACACCGAACTGTGCCATCTGCTTTTATTCCTTATGGCAAAGGAGTGAGGTAGGGGCTGTTCTAGAGTTGTAACCAAACATATTCTAAGCAGGATGGGAAGGTGTAGATTCATTCCTTGTGTCCTCAACGAAATAAATTTCGTTCCTGACCGGAGTCGAACCGCTGTCGCTAGACTCGAGAATGTTACAGCTGGCAACATGCTCATCCCTCGCGTACTCCGAATTGCGTGAATTCTACCCGGTTAATATAATTTAGGTGATTAGGTACTATGTGCTATGCCCTTCGTAAACACCCGAAGGGTTGACCGAATCAACGGTGGTAGGATTGTGTTCAAGCCCATCTTACATTGTTTGATATTTGAGCGGTATTCGAAGAATGGAAGTACGTCAAAAATATTGGCATCCAATCTTCGAGAATTATTGTTTACAAACATTGAAGCTTAAAATTATTATTACCATCGAAGGATTAGGAATACGTTTTCACTTCCAAGCTATTTTAAATTTTGTGCCTAATTTTCTGACTAACCAAAGGTTCAAAACTAACTAAGAACTGAAAACAGGTAGCGTTTTCAACAAGGTTTTTTTTTTTATATTTTAACGCTGTCACCGCCATGTCGCTCATATCTGGATGACGGAATCCTCATCGAAAGCATAAAGAACATATGATGTGGTCAATGGACATGTAAAATATGTTACAGTAGCGTTTTATTTTATACAGTATTATTACAGCTTTGTCCGGCAATGCTAGATGAAATGTCCTGATGAAGACCTTACAACGTATATTAAAACGTTGGTAATATTTCTATATTATAATATGACAGTATTTCTGTTTAATTCTTATTTGATTTGTTTTAATAAAACGCCCTTTTTTTTTACCTGTTAAGAATTCTCTTATTTGTTGGTAAATATAAAAAGTAAGTATTCTTTAACTTTAATACATTATTAACTAAAGGATAGTCAACATGAAGAATACTCATTGTGTAAACCAACAGCTCTTTACGACTTCAATCATTTTTAATACAGTAATCTGTTAAACGATGGAAAGATATCATTGAACCAGAAGTTCGCAATATTATCGTGAGAATCAGAGGTCAAGGGTACCGGAAAGTGGATATCGCCGATACAGTTGGGCATCCCCCAGACTGTGGTCTCCCAAGCTTTAGCCTGATTCAGAGAAACCGGAAGTACCAGTAGCAGGCGAAAAATCTTTATTTGATCTCAGCAGATTATAAAACCAAGGGATGACAGAAATATAGTTATTACTACTAGAAGCAATGCTTTTCATAGTGCCCGACAGAGCTTAAATGAAGTGTCTAATGTTCTTCCAAGGCTCATATCAACTCAGGCCATTCTTAATCGCCTGTGAGAAGTTGGTCTAACATCTTATGCCACGTTAAGACGACCTGCAACAGCAGTGCGTAACCAGCAACTTGAATGGCAGTTATGGTACAACGAGCGACTAGATGAAGATACAAATTGGAATGCTGTGAGTCGCGTTTCTGTACTTAAAGCGATCGTAGACGCCGAGGAGTCTTCCGAGAACATATGATGGGTACACTGAAAAGTTTGTCCTCCCTTCATTGCAATCTAGAGGTGATGGTATGGACCGGTATCTACCCAGAAGGATGGACTCTACTCCATACTTTGAAGGTAATCTCATTGCACTTTGCACATAGGAGTGCATTCCTCAAACCAGGGCCATAACTGGCACAGATTCTATTTTCTTGCCGACAATACGCGGCCTCATAGAGGAAAAGCTGTTCATCGATATTTTGAGAATCTGGACATTTCACATCTGCCCCTTCCATTATTGTCTCCAGATCCGAATCCCATTGAACATATATAGGATGCACTGCAGAGAAGGCTTTTTAACCACCTGCAGCTTCTTAACTTTCAGCAACTGAGAGCAGTATATGGTATGAAATTCCTTTTGAAATCACTGACAACATTATAAACAGTATGCCCAATTGATGCAGAGAGATATTGCGTTACAGAGAACATTCCACAGATTAATGAATTTTATAAAATGAATATCGATCTATCAATATATTAAAAATCAAATAGTACAAACCCGACTAAGTTAAGGAAATTCTCCCAATAAAGATATATATACTTGAATCATAAATTAAAGGCCAATCCTCCACTTTTCGGGTCAATTCATGTTCCTCCAATTTTCCCAGTTCACAGTTCTTCAATCAAATTATGGTATGGTAATATAGTAATCAGACCAGGGCCCGTCAGGAGTTCGTTTATTTCTAGAACGGAATTTGGGGAGTAAAATTTAGTGCAGAGCGCATTTCGGACAAAACTTTATTTTTAATTTAGTAGAAAAAAATTGTTTCTTTTTACTGATTGTTTTGGCCTTAATACTAGCAAAACTGAGCTCATGTTTTAGAACCCTCATTGTAACACTGTAAACTCTCAACATAATAAATATTGAAGATTTTCTTCGATATAACAAATTCAGTCATTGCTTTCCACATCTTATTTCGTCGCACGCTGTCAAAAGCCTTTTCAAAATCTCAATACAAGGTATAGAGTCGCTTGGAATTTGTGTTATTTACTTAATAGCAATTAAATTTAAAATAATAATAATAAAGAATAAGGATAGCGCAGCCGGTCCTACCGGGGCCATCATCTATCTCTCTTTCATATATTATATCAATTTAATTTATATTATAATGAATTAATAAATATAAGTTTAAAATCACATGCGGTTCTTTCTCTGTATGATTGATAAAAATAAGTTAAGATATCGTTTATTAGACTATAGTTTGAATTTGTTACCATAACGATTTAGACCCATAGGTTAAAATTATGGAACACTACAGCAACAAAAAAGTTATTTTACAATGACATATTTGTAATCAAGTGGGCACTTTTAGGTAATAGTGCTTTTGGCCTATAACCTACGTTGATAACAAGCGTGGAGTTGTCCTTTCGATCTGTTCTATTAAAACAGCTCGACTGGTTCAATAAGTACTTCATTTTCGGTCTTATTATTGCGAATTGTTTTCTGTTAAGTAACCTCCTTTTGTATGATTGTTTAATCTATGTAATTTTGAAACATTGACTAAAATGGCTAATATGTTCCAGGGTGTGCCTGTTTCAAAGGAATGCGGCTGCGTTGTTTGGACGCCGGTGGTGGCGATAGTTACATCCGGCTAGACGCTGATAAAGACGATAAGCAAGACAAACAGGTAATTTAAATATAATACTCCCACCATTATAAAGTTTTAACAGGAATACTATTTTATATTTGATTAATAATATTGATCCTTTCCTTACCTTTTTTTAAAAAAAATTATTCTCTTTTTGTTGGACTTCAAAAAATCTTTTTGATCAGAGTCTGGGATCACTTATTGATTATCCTAATAGTCAAATTGTGATATTTTTATTATATTGGGATGGCAAATTTAATATTAATCTGATGCAAATACAATTTTACTTAAAATGTATGCATTTTTAATAATTTTTTTTTTTTCCTATTCAGATCTGTTCCTCTCTTTAATTTATTTTATTATAACCTTAGAATTGTTGTATATTGTTAATATTCTAGCCAATTTCTATCTCTTTATTCTCGTGATTCAAATTGATACTTGAAATTGCGTGAGCTACGCACGATAAATATAGTGATGAAAAGCGCCGACTGTAAGGAGTGAGGTAGGATTGGACACATTTATAAATTTTGTAAAGATTAGATTATAACAATAAAACAGAAAAGTCCGGAATTTTTCTTTTCCATATTTGCAAAGCTAATTAGCTTTAAAGAAAAGTGGTGGGGACAGAGTTAGGTCACTAAGGTGATGCCGCCTACATATGTTCTGCCAGTGCCTAATCATTTTGGCTTAGAATAGTGTTACCAGCTTCAAAACTTCCTGTTTTTTTCTCTCTCTGTTGTCTCAATTATTATTATTTGTATTGATTATTATCTTTTATGAAAACATTTTAATAAAGTAGAGCTGAAAGAGGTTTGAGAGTATCTGTTTGGGAGTCATGCCTTTCAGTTCCCACTTCTCCCAGACATACTGTTAATTCATTTTTTTTTTATAAATATGAACTTTTTGATTATTTAAAAAGTGCAATATTTATATTATTTACGTTTCTTATCACACGAATTATATTTCAACTCAAATTTAAGCGATTTTTTTTTTATCATATGCCAACTGTAAGAGTGACATGCAAGAAGATCAATATATGGTGGTATTTTGGTTAAAATTGTTTATGATCTCGTCATGGAATTAATGAGCGCTATGAGCATTAAGGTTATTAAAAAAAAAATAGTTTTTTTTTCTTGAATTTAAGGGAACAGAGTAGCTCAGTGAGTTAGCCACTATGCTGCTAAGCTCAAGATCCCGTGTTCGAATCAGGCTGATGTCAACTAATTTTTCATCCGCCATAAATGGATCATGGGGTCAGGAGACCCTCCTGTGTCTCACCCAGCCTCTATAAAGTGGGTGCTCTTAATTAAATAATTTATTAATGGGGGAAAGCTGGTGGTTGAGTGTGATCCTGGCCCATTCATCCCTCTGCACACAATCTGTGCCCTTGAAAAAATACTTGCTAATAAACTACTGGACCCGAAATCCTCTATGGATTGTAGTAATGCAGGTTTCTTAAATCTAAGAAATAGATAACCAATAATTATATTATTCATGAAAGATCCACATTATTTGGTTCTTTTAAAAATAAATTACCTTCAATATTGTTAAAATGCTATCTTTTTTTTACTTTTGATATATTTAGAATAACATTCCTAAAAACAATTATAAACAATTTCCTGTTTTCCAACTTTTGGCCAAAGTTATCTGATTATTTCAGTAAATTGATTGTTTGAAAATAATTTCCATTTATTATTGAACCATCTCTTAGATTTTCCATTTCTCATTCATTTTGGATGTAGCAGTGGAAAATATAAAAATTTCTAACAACTTTAATAGTTAAAATGAAATTTTCCATAACTTAAATATTTAAAAAGTACAACATATTTGGTAAAGAAATATTTTAATTGTATTAACTTTTAGATTTTAACTTTTCATCTATACATGAATGACATTTTACAACAATCATTTTCTTTTTTATTCAAATACGAACATTGTTTTGATATTATTCCATTTGTTAACTTAAAAGTTATTAATTTTAAATTTTATCAACTCTATAAATAAAATGCTTTACCACAATTGAGGCAGTTTGGTATAGATTCTCAAATTTTCCAATTTTTTTATTTCCCTGTTGATTATTCTTAAAGAAATGTTTTAATTTGATGTAGATAAAATAGCAATCTTTTTACTCATTATTAAACTTATTCAAATTTAATATTTCCTCATATTTCAAATTCAAATTCAATTTGATTTTATACTGACCAAAAAAAAAGGAGATGTATATGAAAAAAATATATTAATGTTATTATTTACTTCCTTGACAATAAGGCTTACTGAAACTGGAAGTACAGTAATGAATCTAACCTACATAGCTCTTTCATTTGAAATCAAATAGTTTGGACTTGACGCAATCTTCTCTTTTATATCATGCTCTCAAAGCTGATAACCTTTTAATAATGCTTTCATTGTCTAGCTCAACCATTTTTTCACTCATTTTCTATGAGTTATAGATTTAATTAGCATTAACCTTTTGACTATTATTCTCTTACATAAATGGGTCTGTTTCATACTCTTGAAGAAAGTATAATAATGATAACGTATTTCATGTAGGTTCTTGAATAATTTTTTTTTTTTTTAAATGTATATATTGTGAATTCTTATAGATATAGTGCAAACCTTTACATTGTATGTCTTTTAATAATCATAATCTTGGTTATTTGATTTGAGTCTCTCTCTAATACATTTATTTTTTTATTTTAGGAGGAACTACAGTTTTTCAATGATGATGGTAGTTACCAGTCAGTTGTCGTAGAAAAGAACTTGCGAGCTGTCGATTTGTGCCAAATTTTGGCTGTAAAGAATAGAGCTGGGCGTGATTTTACATGGTCCATTGTTGAGCATTGGATTGACACTAATACCGGTAAGCAACCAATTTCTGAGCATATATCTTTAATATACTTAACATATATTGTGAAAAAGTTGGAACGTTTATTTAAGAACATGTTTGTTTTCAAGTTATTTAAACTATTTTGTTAAAATGAGAACCATTGTTCGTACTACTCAGCCATAAAATCAGTTGAATACCTGACATATTTTTGAGAACAATTATAAAATAAATTAGGCAATTGGATTATGGTACTTTGAGGAAGTTTCTAAGCTTAGCACTGAAATTATTGATGAGCATCGGAAATACATCAATGGATTAGTGCTGAGCTATTTTTATTTGTTGGTTTTTTTTTATTTATATTTAACTATCCAAATATTCTTATTTTAGCTTTATGTCACTCTTAGCAGCAAACTATTTAACAGGTTGTTTCCTTTTTAAATTTATATTCAAGAAACCAGATCAACTATAAAAGATAATACAAATGCCAAATGGTTGAATTGAAATTGATATGAATACCACTAATAATTGTTATCAGCGTCTCAACCTCCACTGACTGTAACAAATTCCAAAATAATTATGTTATTAATTTTATTGTATTCGGCTTATTTACTGTAATTTTTTGGAATTACTTGTTTCTCATTTTTATTATAATATTTTTATATTTTATTACAGAAAGAGTTTTGGAAGATCATGAAGATGTCTTAGCTGTTCATAGGCAGACTCATGCTTTTAACAGGAAATTTATTTTCAGACGTATACCTCAAAAATATGAGTTCTTCAGTGATCCAACAGTAAGTATCATTCGATAGTATCAGTCATTGTCCAAATTCACAAAAGTATTTTATATCCATGGAAATTATTAAAGATAGCAAGTGCTAAAAATCCAGTTTCATAGACTATTAGAACTGTTCAGTTTAAAATGAAATTAATGCAAGCTCTTAATTTATAATAATATTGATACTCTATAGCTAAAGATTTAATTTTTTACTACATTAGAATGTACTAGAAATTACAGCAATAATAATAATACTTTATTTATTCTGGGACGAGTCCCTTTAGAATAATACAGGAAGACAGGAATGTGGGCTAAGGAGCCTGAGAGATAAATAAACAAAAATTCAGAGTAATTAAATAGTCATAATTATATAACTTATAAAAAAATTATAAGTTACTTTCTAATTTTAATCAGTTAATAATAAAAAATAAAAAAATGAAAAAAATAATGAAGAACGATCTAATAATTAATATACATATTTACAGTAGTATTATACCATTTTATGGGGACTAGATCGATAAGAAATGATTTAACAGGCGGGATTTAAAGGCAGGAAGAGTATTGGATTGTGAGCTGTGGGAAGGGTTAGATTTCCATAGGGATGAGTATCGGATAATGAGCGATCTGTCGAAAACAGTGGTCCCCTGGGCTCTTATGTATAAATCAGAAGACAGGGGACAATTATTGTGGGAACGAACAAAAGATTTGAATTGAAAGTATGAGTTGATTTGAGTTCGGAAATGTATGAAGGACAGTGGGATTGGATGACTTGAAAGAGGAAGGATGCCAGGAAATGCCCCCACATACTGTACAACAATAGTCAAAGTGGAGAAAAATTAAGGAAGTGACAGGAGTAATTTAGATGTTTTAAGGTGGAAATGGTTCGGCAGGAGATATTGGATACATGGTTTTTCCAGGAAAGCTTTTGATCAAATGTTATTCCAAGGTTTTTGATGGAGGAATAAAATTTGATTGGATTATCATGTAGGAACAGAGTTGGAATATTGGAAACAGTTTTAAGGAGGTGATTGTAGCCTATTAAGATTGCCTTCCTCTTTTCTGCATTCAACTTCAACTTGTTGGCTCTTGCCAGTCACAAATCCTATCCAAGTCTTCTTGAAGTTTTTCTGTGGCTGATAATAGGTCGGAGGGCAGGCAGAGGTATATTTGGAAATCATCTGCATAGATATGGTATTAGGAGAGTTGGATCAGGAGGGGAAGGTCATTAATGTGAATAGCAAACAGAGTAGAAGACAGAGAGGAACCTTGAGGGACACCACAGGAGAGGGGTAGGGTCTTAGATGGAGGTTACCTGGGACGACTACATTCTGGAACCGATTTGAAAGGAAGGATTTGAACCAACGCAGAGCACTGTTGGATAGAGGAAGATTGTGCAATTTAGTAAAGAGGATGTTATGGTCAACTGTTGTGCAATTTAGTAAAGATGATGTTATGGTGAACTGTGTCAAATGCTTTGGAAAATCTAGAAGGATGAGGATAGTAAAGTTTTGGAGTTCATATGTTATTTCAAGGAGAGCGGATTGTGTTGAGTAGCCAGGTCGAAAGCCAGATTGGAATGTGTTGATAAGGGAATGTTCCTCCAGGAAGTTGGAGGGTTGATTTTGGACTAGGCGTTCTAACGGCTTTGAAAGGTTGGATAGGGGAGAAATAGGACGGAAGTCGTGCAGTGAGGTAGGGCTGGAAATTTTATTCAAAAGTCGGACTAGGGCAGTTTTCTAGGAGGATGGAAATATGGAGTTTTGCAATGAAAAGTTGTAGATATGATAATGTACTGGAATAAGGACAGGGAGGCTGGATTTTATTAGTTTTACTGGAATATTATCAGGACCATAATCATTAGTGTGGGAGTATAACATAACACAGTAGTGTCATTCATCTAAGTTTTTTTTTTTTTTTTTTTTTTTTTTTTTTTTTTTTTTTTTTTTTTTTATAATATCTTTGTGGTAAGTGATTTGGTCTAAACAATGAATTTACTTCAATCCTGACTTTTCTTAAAAATTAGTTGAGTAAATATGTTGTTTCTTTTATTTTTATATGATTGTATTGAAATCAAAACCGTGTTATTCTTTACTGCCATCCAGACCGTCTATTTCATAATTTACCATATGATCAACCTTCAATACATTATTAATTATAAAATTATATAAATACACTTAAATTCATTATTACGGATATTTGTTTTATAAATTTTAGAACAATATTATAGTGCTTCAGCTAATAAGAATTCAGGGATATTAAGATTTAAAATTGGACTTATCAAAAAAAATATTTTTCATTGTGGGCTGTAACTTTTGAGCTTATTGTGAGTATCAAAAAAAATATTTTTCATTGTGGGCTGTAACTTTTGAGCTTATTGTGAGCTTATTATGAGCTTATTATGATAGTATAATATGAAACATAGGAAATGAATGGTTGCAGTAGAAATGTACTAGGATAAGTAAAAGACAGAATTAAATAAAAAAATAATAACTGGATCGTGAAATAAAGGCAAAATTCTGTGTTTTTGACAAGCCTTGGCCATCCTCAGACCTAGAGGTATAAATCAGTGATATGCTATTAAGCCAGTTTGTTTTTGAGATTTTCCTTTTTCTATTTGCTTTTCAACTGAGATTTTCCATGTGTGCGAATTGTTATTATGCAGAATGAATTCTCTTTGTTTTGCATCAACTGTCATGTTGGTTTGATATTTTCATTTCATTTCTCCACCCTGTCGCTGCTTTTAAGTAGCGGCAATATTTTGAACTATTTATTATATAAATTAATTTTTTGGCACTTCTGCTCAACAATGTTTCAATTACTTATTTAGTAATTGCTCGAGTGTAGGGGTTCCCTACTAAAGACTGTTTTAATAACTAGGAAAAAATACAAAACATAATTATTGTTTATTTCACTTATTTTAAGTAAAAAACCATTGTAAACAGATTTATGCTAACAATAGCTGTACCAATATGATTAAATACAACAATGACCTAGATTTTAAATCCATACATTTTAGGTTAATATGATCAAAATGCAATAATATCCTGTAAAATTTTGTTCAATCTCAGTTCTTTTAGACATTTTCAAGGAACATGTTGTGGGTCAAAACAGTATGAAAATGGATATGAAATTCGTCATCACAATACGTAATGCCAGAGAGGCTTCCCTTTTTCTCTTATAAATTTATTAATATATTTAATGATATATATAGATACTCTATGAGATCTAATAATAATATCATAATTTAAAACAATATAATATTCATACCCATGTAAATATGAAGTTTGAGGGTTAAGAAAGTATTACATTACTGGGTTGTGGACTGGCCACTGAACAGTTCTTAATTGGTAAATCTATTTGCGACATGTGAGAGAATGTTGTCATGCATCTGTAAAGACCTCTTATTCACATTACCAATCTCATATTCCTCTGGACTGCCCACCGAACTGTAGTTTCTAGTAATCCTAACATTATGGCCACATGGTAAAGCTATGAGTTTCCAGTGTTATCATCAGTTTATCTGAGAAGAAAACAGTTGTTTGAACAAGCAAGTGGGAGTATCATACGTGATTAACTAAACTAATTCATCTTTATTATAAAACAATTTTATAAAGAAAAATCCGATATTGTTTTCTATTTTTCACAAATTTTTAGTTTTTGTAAATAAAATTGTTTTGCTGTAGAAATATTTCTAAATGTACCTCTTGGAATAATGACTTAACTTAGCGTATACAAAAAAAATTAAATTCTTTGGACTATAGAGGGAATAAGAATAAACGTTAAGAGGTGCGCTATTTTTTTTTTTTTTTGCTATTGAATGTAGTTCAGGCCTGCCATCTTGGGCCACACTAGGTAAATTTTTTATTAAAAATATTTTATTAAGTTATTATTATATATATATATATATTTTTTAAATGTAATACTAATAAAAAAAGGAATAAAACTTTATCGTTATACTATGATTCAATGTAATTAAGTTATGAGAATTAATTAATGTGATATTTGATTATCCTTTCTTTCACAATATAATTTTGATTCTTTCAATATCATTAGGTGTTTTTTGATATCAAATAAAAAAACCTTGAGTTCATAGTTATACTTGTCTGATATAACAATAATTCTTGAAAATTTACATTTATTTAATTTTTTTTTTTTTTTTTTTTTTGTTTAACATATAAACAAAATTTATTGTTTTGAAACAAAATGAAAATAATAAATCGCTCAGTGGGCTGTACAATATGGTAAATCGTTTTTATACCTAACCCATAATCCTTACTATATTTTTGAAATATGTTAGCTGTATGTAAGATGCTTGTTTAAATGCATATTGCATTTCTAGAAAATTATAGCATTTTATTTTTAACATTTCTTTTACTGTTGGAAAAAAAAAAAGTAATGATATAATTTTTTTTTATAGCAATTTTTTCCACGGGAGATGACAAAATTAAGAAGATGTAATGCGCCACCAATTGATGAAAATGCTTTACTTCAAGTGAGTTTTTAGAAATACATTAATTGATGATTATTCACTCTAAAATAAGCAATTTGAAACTAACAACTTATTTTATTATTTGCAGACAATACTTTGGCATGGAATCGAAGCCCCAATGATATTTAGCCAAGCCAATTACCAATTATTGGAAGATATACATACGTGGATAAAAAAATTCTTTGTAATTAAAGGAACCAAAATCCTAATGTCTGCCGATGTGAGTATGCTAATGATCCTTTATGACATAATGCAAACAATCTGTGTCAGTTATTATTTATAGAACTTTTGAGGATACGCAAAATTTAGAATTATTAATCATATGATAATAGATGGAACTATTTTGTCTCATTTAACATAGTTTAAGTGATGTTTTGCAAATTAATGAAAACTCTCTAACGAAATAGAGAAATCCTTAAAGAATGTAGTACATAAAGAAAATTTATTATTGTTATATTATTTTCATTAAAGTATTTTTAATACAGAATGTATATTTTGAGCATTTTTAATTAATTGAAACTTATTTCTTTTATTTTTTTCTTATTAATTATACATATATTTGTATTATATAAAAACTGAATTGACCATGTGCTGGTAGACAAGTGACAATACAAGAGGTAAGGAGCTATCATGGAGCAGATTGTGATTTAGATCACTCTCTGATTAGAATTAAACTATTGAAGATTGAAGAAAAGTCAAAAAACAGGGTATCAAGTGGAAAGAATGAGATATGAAGCCTGTAATTTGAAAAATTCTGAAATAAAAACCAAAGTTCAACTTGAGCTGAAGAATAAATTTGAACCCTTGGACTCAGAGTCTCACACTGGATCAATACTGGGAGGAAATATAGAAAGAGCTAAAAGAAACAGCTAAGGAAGTGATAGGTATTCAGGAGAAATGAAAAGCTAAGATGTGATTCACAGAAGCATGAGGCAAGGCAGTAGAGGAAAGAAGAAAAATTAAAGTCATCTGTCCAGATTAAATTAAATTGAAGTCAACAACTGATCAAGTTCCTCAGAACAAGTCCACAGTCGCCAAAAAAGAATTATAAGATTGGCAAAAAGAGAATTCCTTAAAATAGATTGCAAAACATCGAGAACAACTGTCAGGCTGGAGATAATAATAATAACCTGAAAATTTAAACCCATTAACATAGTAAAATTCATTTCCCAACATCTCCCTTTTAGATCCCCAATGGTAAAGAAGTCGTCACTTCCTATATGCCTCGTCAAACATGCTTTCCTAAAATTGAATCGAATTGTTGAATTTCCTTTTTTTACAAAATACTTGTGATTTGGGCACAGCAGACATTGTTCTGTTGAAATATGTGGGTATATACAGACATTAAAGAGGAGAAAGAACTAATAAATACATAATTTGAAACCAAACATTTTGGCTAAGCTACTTTCACAATTATACAACTCTAATTCAAATATATTGAACCTGTCTAGTTTTTGGTATATAACTCTTTCATTGTACTCCAGTTTTAAATGTACCCTTAAAAGACCATATCTTTATGTGACAGACCTGACGGGACCGTCCCCGCACTATGAGAATGGAAAATGCAGTGAGAGTAGTGGCTGCTCAAATCAGAAGAAACCCCATTCGAAAACAACAAATTATGTCTCGGGAAACGGGAATCACTGTCAGATCAATGTCTCGCATATTAAAAAGTGACCTTAGGATGGGTGCATTTTGAAGAATGACAGGACAAAGGCTGAGAATTTCCGCAAGAAAAAAAATTAGAGTGGATAGATGTAAAGTGCTCCTTGACCGTTACACCATTGGTCTTCATCGAAAGATTTTGTTTAGCGATGAAAAAAATTTTACAATTGAAGAAAAATTTAATCTCCAAAATGATCGTGTTTACACACACAGCTCTAAAGAAGCCCAGGAAGTCATTGGAAGAGTGGAAAGAGCTCATCACCCTTCCTCAGTGATGGTTTGGTGGGGAGTTTGCTTTGATGGCACCCCAAAATTCCATTATTGTGAAAAAGGAGTTAAATTTGCCACTAAAAACTATCAGGATGATATTTTGGAATATGTTGTCAAGCCTGTAAATGATTCTCTGTTTGCTGGAAGTCATTGGGTTTTCCAGCAGGAATCCGCTCCAGCTCACAAGGCCAGGTCAACTCAGCAGTGGCTGCAAAAGAACATTCCAGAGTTCATCTGTGCCTCAGATTGTCCCTCAGGAAGCCCAGATCTCAACCCAATAGATTATCGTCTTTGGTCCGAACTGGAGAGGATGGCATGCCACAGAGCACACCCTAATTTGGAGAGCCTCAAACAATCTTTGGTCCGAGCAGTTGAGCGCTTTCCTCAAGAAGTGCTGCATGCTGCTATTGATGACTGGCCACCCAGATTAAATGTCTGTGTCAAGGCAAAAGGGGAACATTTTGAGTAATTTTTTTTTTTTTTTTATTCTATAGATATACATTTTATTTTATAATAAAGTTTTTGAAAACAATTATTTTTCTGTTAAAATCTGTATATATTTCCTCGTAACAATATTTATGACAGGACTAGGTATGTTAACATCATCTTTATCAACATTAAAATACATAAGTAATGAATACATTTCTTGCATTTAAAAAGTAATCCAAGTTTTACTAGTGAATAACAATTAATTAAATTGGAATAATTTTCAACGCCTTCACTCCGGCTATAGTAGATTGGAAGCTCAAACTTTGCGATAACTTGTTATTCTTGACTTAGTCAGAGAAAAATGGGGTCTCACATCTAATAAACAAATACTCTGTCCTTTATTGGTCTTTTATTTTACTATTTTAAACTCAATGTAATTCTCCAAATTTCTGTTTCTATTTTGTTTTCACATTTATCTGTAAAACTGTTTACTGCCCTTAAAAATTAATTCTTAGAATTTGAATCATTGTTGTTATGTTAGTTATGTATTCTCAGATTGTTCCAAGATATTTATTCCACTAATTTTTACCAAGAAGTAACATTTCTTCGACTATGTTTCTGTTAGTTTAAAATTTACTTTCAAAGTAACATAGTTCTGTTCGTTTTATTCTTGATTTAACCATATTCTGTGAATTCGGCATGAACTGTTTTTTTCAGAGGTCTAGAACTAAGCTTTACTTCAGATCTCAAAAACATCCGTAAATATTGTAACTTAAATTTTTCTTTCACTTTTGATTCTAAAGTGGTAAACAATATTTTGATAGCTCTTCTTATCAACTAAAAGTTGAAGTAATATGCACAGTAAAGTATTGAGTATGAGCAAAGCATCTAGCTTGAAACTCATTACAATAACTCTTTATAAGAGAGAATACCACAGTAATTAACAAGAGGCCGAAAATGAGATGGATAAGCAAAATTAATAACATTGGAAAATTGTAGCCTAATATATAAGTAGAGATGGAGAAAGATGGCTAAAGATCTAAAATGTCTGTAGAGCCAACAATTAATAATAATAAATAAAACATTATAAAAACATATATTACATTAGTAAAATCTTTTGGTCAGCTATATTGTGGTTTCATTAAAAATTAAGTTGTCAAATAAAGAATTAAATATTTTTTTTAAAGCATATTTGTTTTTAATTGGAAGTTTTTCTGTTACAAATTTATGTTGTTGAAATTTTCTTAGGTAAAAATAAATTTGTATTTTCTTGAAGAAAGGGCATTCATCCTGAAACATTATAAAGTAAAGATGTGAACATGAAATATTTAACAACAATTAAAAGGAAATACTTAATAATGTTTTGTTACTAAATTTGAATTAATTTATTTACACCTCTTTGTAATTTAATTTGTAAATCACCGGTTTTGATTGACCTCTCATTTAAGACAAGATGAGCTACTTTTTTTTCTTTTTGTAGTATATTATAGTTAACATATGATGGTAGTTATCATCTTTTATAAGCAAAAAATGAATAAATGAATGGATAACTAGGGTAATAAGTTCAAAAAGGAAACTTTAAATGGAAATCTCAATATACCCATGAGAGTTTACTTGATAATGCCACTTTATGGAGCCTGGTGTGTTTGAGAAGAATCATTCAATCTGTTTCAAGAGACATAGCATTTATAATCAAAGTTTTTGCAAACCCAAAGATTCAATGTTAACAGACCTCTAGACCACTGGCGGATCTACAGAGGGGGTTGTTCGGCCTGAAGTAGAAATAAATTAAATTTAGAAAATTGTTCCCTTCTGCTTTCAGCAGTGCCTGCCTTAGATATGACGTAATCTCCCTCCCACGTAAAAAAATTAAATTTATTTCTTAAGCTTTTTTTATACCATGCGGTATTTAAATTTTATTTCATTCAATATTTCTCTAATACAGTTGCTTTATTAATAGGCTAAAATTAATTATTTTAATATGTTTAGTATATTTTTTTTTAATTTCTAACAAGTAGCGAGCGTCGGTACCCCTCTAGGTCAGCACTCCGTGGCAACTGTCCTGGTTAAAGCCAGTACTAGTTTTGAGCTAGACTCTTTTGCTGTTCCACTTAAAATCATCAGATATGTAACATAACTAATAATTTTATTACATATTAAAAAAGTATAGATATATATACTCGCATTAAGAATGAAAAGTGTACAATGAAAAAGTTTCACTCGAAGTACACTCTGTCATAACATACACTGTAAAACCACTTTTCTTTTTTTTTAAAAATGACACTTTAAATAAACATGGTTAGTTTATTTTGTGACTAAATAATTTTAAAACTTTTTTATTCAAAAATATAATTGTTTGCTTTTGGTTTATTTCATTTTAAAAAATATTTTCTTGTATGACAATAAGTGCTTATATAATCCATTTAATTAAATGTATTCTTTTTAGCCTCAAGTTGTGAAAAGGTTTCTTCGATATTGGAGGAACCAAGCCACATTCGGTTATGAAGCATTGAAACAAGAAACAGAAACTGTCGACCTTGAGGTAAGATCTCTCTTTACATCTTCTCCATTACTTTTTTTTTTAAATGACTATCTGTAAAAAAAAAAAAAAAATTATTTTTTAATTTCTGGTTGGATTTTTTGTGGGGTGAAGGTAAATTTTCTGTTGGATATAATACTATAAGCTATCATATTTAAAAGTCATATTCATTCTGAATATTTTCTTAGATTAATTTATTACTTGCAAAAACTAAATAATTACTATTATACACATAAAAACATAAAACTAAATGTCTACAGAATGACAATTCATCTTATAGTGAAATTTTTTAACACATATCTAGACAAAGAACATTTTTATCCTGACTATCTAACAATAAAAAATTATGATTGTTTTCTTATTTTGTTCACGGTGCAAACACAAATGAGAAATTTTGTTCTCTTTCCTGTCACTGGCCTCCAATTAAGGATTAAATTATTCAGGAAGCTACTTTATGTTTTGTTCCTTTCAAATTGAAGAGTAGTAAAGGTTCAGACAGAACTATAAAGAATATATATTTAAAAAATGACACGTTAGTCAAAGTTTATTGGATAGATAATGTTGGTATAGGCCATTTTTATTATTCCTGGTTGATTCACTTGAAAATATATCATTAAATAACAGTAAAGATTTTAAAAATCATTTAATGGTCTAAAAAAAATAAAAAATATATGACTATTTTAAAACTAAATTAAAAATTTTATTTTGATAAATTATATACATCCTTGCAAATTTTTTTTTTTAATTGGCTTAAAAGTTCTACGTTTGGTACTTCTGTCCATATTTGAGATCTTTATTGAGAAACGAGTTATATCATAGTTACAATAGTCTTGTCTTCAACTTTTACCACTACAAGCCGTGGAGGTCTTGTGTTCTCATTAAGTGAGTATTGTTTCTTATCCTTATATCCTTCTCTTTAATAAGATTTTTGTCATTATATTAATATAATAATTGTTATTTTATCATTAATTCGTATTATTGCGTTATTATAGTTATACTAAATTATATATTTTTTTAATTTCTTCGCCATAACCTTGCATATGGGTCAAATTTTAAAAGACATTTATAATTGAGAACGATTTTATTTCTATTTGGATGTTTCAGGAATGTTTTTCTCACCTCAAGAGAATCTAAAATTTAATAAAAACATCAAAATAAATAATCACTACCAATTCTATCCATTTTTCCTGTCTAGTTCTGCGTTGAACCAGTCATTCCAATTTTTTTGTTTAATTAAAACATTTCAATTTAATTTAAACAATTCCCTATTTAAAAGATTGTTTAACAATAAAAGGTACTTATATAATGTCTCAATATTGACAGAGTCTAAGAAGAGGTTTTGTCAATGACTAAACATTCTCTGTACTAAAACAATCAACCCATAATTAGAGTTAATTTTTTTATTGAAGCTATGTTTCAGGTATTTTTTATAAACAAATTTTCTTTTATATGGTCTATTATATGGTTGCTTGAAACTGTCTAGTTTCTAAAACATACAAACAGAAATAAAAATGCTATAGATTACAAGTTTTTTTTTTAACTTTAAACTTTATCTATCCGATCAACTTTGGCTCATGCATTGTTTTTTAAATATATATTCTTAATTGATCAATAAACAAGTTTGTGAAGAAGAAATAAAAAATAATGATAAATAAGATAGCTCAAGAATATTACCTACTAAATTATTATTATTATTGCATTTGACAGTCCGATCCAAATACTAAAATGGTGAAGTATGCTTTAGTTAGAATAATTAATAAAACATTCAAATTTATTCAAAATAATTATTATATTAACATAATGATAAAACTCACAATGATTCTTAAACATAAAATAAAAAAAAAGTAAAATAATAAGGTCTAAAACCCTTAGTAAATATATTAATTTGCTAGGAATAATTTTTATTTAATTTAATTGTTTTCATATACATCTTCTTAAAGATTATTGACAAGTGATCAAAAAGACCTATATGGTTTCAGGCCATGTCTCGGGGAAGGGTACCCTATTCCCAATGTGATAAAATTAGTTTCTGTATTATTTTATAGGTATTTTAAGGAAATATTGTTATTTCCTTCGGTGCCGGCCTTAGGATTAGGTAACCGGGGCAATTCTCTTGGAGAGCCAACTGATCTTTAGGGGAGGTACGATGTGTCCCTGTGTCATGAAGTGTACATTCAGTACTACAATAAAATGCAAAAATTCAAATATTATATAATATAAAACAGCTTAAGAAATAAATTAAATTTTTTAGGGAGGGCGGATGATGTCATTGTCCAGTGGGTGCCGAATGTCTAAGGCTGGAATTGATTTCCTTCAATATGCCTTGGGTAGCGGATTATTATTTTTTGTCTATAAGAAATTTTAAGAAGCTTTATGTCAATTGACAAGATTATTGTATCTAATGAAATCATCCAGGATTTCTGATTCAAAATATTAGTCCCTTTCATAAAAAAAAAAAAATAATAATAATGAAATATTTAAAATGCCACTAACTTTACACAAATGTTTATGTTTTTTAGTGTAGCAAAAAAAAAAATTTAATTTATCCCCCAGAATTCCTTTATTTGCAAAATGAGCTTTCATTAAAAGTTGTAAATAAATATCTTATTGAAAGAAGTTTTTAATCTGCTTTCCTGATTCTTTTCTGAATTTATTTTACTGAAGCAATATTAATATTATTGTATTTTTATTGTTATTATTTGTTTGTGTTAATAATAAATACAATTGTAATGTCATAGGCTTCTTTAAAAAAAAAGTCAATTTTTACAGTTCTGAAAATGGATTCATTCAGCATTTTGCATAAGTTTGTAAAATCTTAGTTTTATTCAACTTTCTAAAATAAAACACTGACTTTTATCAAAAATTTATTTTTCTAAAGCAGCCCCGAGCTGCTTTGTCTCTTCAGATTGGATGGAGGAAGAGGAACTGAGTTTCCTCTATATTTATGAGAGCTTTAATGATGCTACCTAAATATTTAAGTTACTTCTCCACCAATACTGTCAGACATGTAACTACCAACAGAAACTGTGCTTCTATTTTTATTAATTAAATAAAATAGTTAAATGAAGAATATTCCTCTATAAATAATCTAGTTTTTAATTTTTTGGGAGAGTTGAGCTTTTCAATTAACACTTGATAACGAATTATGACAAACCAAGGAAGAGGGAGTGACCACCTGAAATTCCACTTACTCTATAGAGGCCTTTATTGCCTTTTTTTTTTGTTAAATAATAACTTTATTGCAAAAAATAAAAATAAATAATTTTGACTGAGAATAATCTGATAAAAGCTTTTTAAAAAAGTGAAAAATTGCCTTCTCAATTAATATTTTTACAGCCCTTAAAACTTAAAAATAAATATGCCCTGGGCTTTCAATGTTCTACTTATGCCACTGATAATGAAACAACACTTGCATTGTTAAAACCTTTATCTATTTAGTGCTAAACTTATTTGCCTCATTTTCAGATCTTTAAAAAAATTCCATTTAATGATTACTTCCGTTGCAAATACTTAGGGTTTGGTTTGTAGCTTAAGACATAAGTTTAGTCATAGGCGGATCTACTGGGGAGGTTTTCGGGCTGAAGCCCTCTTCCCCTCCCCCCCCAAAAAAAGTGAAATATAACCACGTTTTATAAAAAAAAATATTAAAAACAATCTCTTAAAGTATTATTGTTCATCTAATTACATTTAATAGGACTTCATGAATCACTTGAATACCATATCAAATAGGTAGTTAGTTTCTTTCTTTCTTTTTTTAAATTAATTAAATCTCATTGAAATTGTTATATAAATGAAAACAAAAGCTTTGGGGCTGAAGCCTCCCCCAAAATTAAATCCAGGATCGAATAGTGCATTTAGTGAAAAACTTCCTGACATGCCTCAGCAGAGTGGGATACCCCCTTGTATACAAATGCTCTTCTTGATGTCCGTCTTTTTCGATTGAAATGACTAGATCTATACCAAAACCCGCATGATTTAATTCAAATGATTTCATTATTTAATTAACTGTAATATAGAAGATTCGGGAATGGGCTTTTAATTTTCAGTATCTAAATCAAGAATCATGGTACTCAGATTTGTTCATTGTTTTTTACCTTCAGTTCTTCATTTTTCTTTTTTTTTTAATTTGACGAAATATTTCAATATTTCAGCCAAGTTCCACTATTTGACCATAATCACTATTGAACATTTGAGGAAAACAAACAAATTTGCATGTTTTCAACATGTCTTATATATTCATACATTTACTTTTATATATACTTACAAAAGAAAACTTTTTGAGTTACAAGCAAATAAAAATGTGGATCTATCGTAACATTTTTTTAAAATATATATTTGAACCCACATTGCTTGGTGAATATTTTAGGCAAAAAAAATTTTTTTTCTATAGCTATGAAAATTCGTATTTGAGGAGTTTTCCAGGTGCAAAATATCAAGCTGAATTTGGTTTCTCCTTGAAAAAAATATTTTAAATCACTTTGCTTCTTAGGTCAGTACAAGTTGTTTCATTTCAATATTTTACTCATATTGTAGATATATTTCAAAAATAAATTAGTCACAATAGAGCTCTTCTAAAAAATATAAACTGAAGAAAATGTAAAAATATATATACTATAACAATATCTTATGGACATGATTCTTTTCGATTTCGAATATTTTTTTTTTTTGTGTTTGTTCTGTAAGGAATTTATGAAACTTTCAAATATTCATAGGTTTTATGAACCAAAAATTGTATACTTTTTGAGTTTTACGTGAATATAATTCTGAATCCTTTTTTAATTATCTTTTTTTTTTTTATACTCTTTTTGGGAAATATGATGTATTCATCAATTAAAAGGGCTTCAAAGAGAAGACTTTAACCAAGTCTCATTGAAATCGTCGTCACAGCCATTTTGGCGCTATAGTCGGTAGCGAGACACGTTTTTCGGTTGCTATTTTAAAATAAAAGGCTGGGTGTTAGTGAAATGTATATAAAAACGCTCCTGAATTTAATTTCAACTTTT